AGAGATCTCGGGATTATCGACAAATCAACGACCATTTAGAGAAGCATAAAACAGACAAGGCGGGATTATGGTTGACGGATCTACATCCATTTCAATGATATGATTGGACCCAGTCTGCTCACGAGGAATAGGCCACTCATTTCGCTATACGTGTCACGAAAGGAGCTATCGAATCGAAATCAATGGTTCTGGTCTAATATTCACAAAGACGTTAGGCACGTAGTCGGCAACTGTCTAGTCAGTGCCGCAGATTGCGCGCCGATCTATGGACCAAACAATATAGTTCCGACAGAAGTAACAACCATTTCGTCAAAACGGAAATATTATATTTTTTGAACGAAATCAAAACTGACTTTTTTTGCCAAAATCCGGTCGGAATTTTTTGCCCCTGGGGGTCCGGCGTTCCCAAAACGCCGGACCCCCTCTGGTTTATGGTTGAGACCAGATTTTTTTTTTTTTTTNTTTTTTTTTTTTTTTTTTTTTTTTGTATCTGGTCTCAACCATAGACCAGGGGGGCCCGGCGTTTTGGGAACGCCGGACCCCCATACGCAAAAAATTCCGACTGGATTTTGGCAAAAAAAGTCTGTTTTGATTTCGTTCAAAAAATATAATATGTCCGTTTTGACGAAATGACTGTTAAGTAGAGCGCCCTTTTCCGCATGTGAGTATGAATACGATAAATATTGATGTGCCATACTAATAACCTCGAGCGGTAGCAGTCATGGCGGTCATGGCCATGGCCCGCGCTCGGGGCCTCGGTCATGACCTCCGCGGTCGCGGCTGAAATCGGTCCACTGCGACCGAGGGAAGGGGGGTCCTGCCAATCGCGGTTAGGATTCCCGTGGCGGGACTCGGGCCCTACCCCCCTATAATGAAAAAAAAAAAAAAAAAACGAGGGGGGGTCCAAAAAGGGGGGGGTTAAAGGGGGGAGAACAAATTCGTGGACCCCCCTTTTTTTTTACTTTTCATTTATTATATCTGTTGAAAAACCGGGTGTTTTTTTTATATGTAGATTTTTTAATTGATTGATTGATTGATTGGTTGGTTGATTGATTGGTTGGTTGATTGATTGGTTGATTAACCTGCAACATGTGTGTCTGATGAACGGAGAACGACGAAATTCAATGTCGTTGACCCCCGTTTAACGGCCCCTGGGCCCTTGTTGAATCCTGTTTAATGCAAAAACGGGGGTATCCCGTTGAATTCCGAAAAACGTAATGGGCGCATTGGTCGTTGGACACGTGGCCGTACCCGCCCAAACACTCAAACCGGCAACAAAAAAAAAAAAAATCCACCGCCCCCCAAAATCCCTCTGTGGCCCCGCCCTTAATGAAGCCCCTACGAGTGAAACGAGCCCCTACTAGCCTCCCACAGCCCCCCCTGTCCCCCATCCCGCCAGTAGCCCAAGACGTGCAACACTCGTAACTTAAATCATACATGGAAAATGTAATGGACATGAAAAGTCGTGAGGTACTAGTCACTGAAATCACATATGAAAAATATAACATAATACAACGTATCCTAGTACTACGCCACTAGTGTCACACTGCCACATACTAAATAATAGAAAACAGTACTGGACAAGTTGTGTTGACGGTGGCGAGATACTCTACTACGACCAACGCTATTATACAGATGCCTTACTCATACCAGAATCAGACTCGTAAAAAATGAATAAAACAACAATAAGTACAACACACACACTACCAGTGACTACCGAACAATACTAAGATAAGACAACACGACAAAAAAAGAGGAGCGCAAAATATGACGAAGTCGAGTGCAAGTAGGGGAAAGCGGAATGTTGGCCTCACGGCCACCGACCCCTCTTCCCCTTCCCGCTCTGTCTCCCCATACCCCCTCGAGTGTCGGATGTCTGCCTCCTCTTCCCTTGTGCAGATAAAGACGTCTGCACAGCGGAGCATCTCGATGCACGCGTCGGTGGGGGAGGTGGGGGCTCATCGTCGTCGTTGTCGTCATCACTGCTATCGTCGCTCTTGCTCTCCTCCTCCTCACTCTCCTCCTCACCCTCATAGTCCTCGTCCTCGTCCCGCACTATCGGTGCCGTCTCAGGATCATCCTCCTCGATGGTGACAGGGACGCCTCCCTTCCTCACCAGAATAACCCTTGTACTAGCCTGTGTGACCGTGTCCTGACGGCGGGATCCATGAGGCATCCCCAACCCCTCCGCCCCCGAAGACTCTCCAAGTGCAGCGCCTCCCTCTGCACGCACGGGGCGTGGACGGGGCACTCGATGCTTGTGTGGAGTCTGCTCATGCACAACATGCGTTGCTTCTCTCAAAGCGTGGTCCAAGGTCGAGGTGGACACTCCTCAGCCGCGACCTTGTTGAGGCTCACAACCTGCTGCTACAACCTCCCTCGCTCCGGTCATCCTGGTGCCGTGGGTTCCGAAACCTGGTTGAAGGCGTGCAGTGAGCTCAGTGACGCGGCGGGTGGAATCCAAATATATGCCCGTCCTCTCGAATAACGTCGTGTCGCACATATCCCGCTCAACCGCTGTAGTGTCACGAATCCTCGATCTCCCGGGCGTGTGTGAGGATCGAGAGCCTCGGCTTGTGAGCGAGGACGATGGATCACCCACATGTGGTCTGGGAGGAGGGGGTGACATCTCTGCTATACGTGGCGCTCTCTCCTGCAGTTCCCCCAAAACTCCTGCTACATTTGCCCTGCTATGTCCTCCGCTAGAGGTAGACTCGGACCACACCTGCGACGCAGGACACCATGGAACTGAAGGGATCGACTGCCATTGGGGATGGTCGAGTTTCGGGTTAAATATCCGCCGGTCCAGTCGAGTCACATCGTGCACAACGGTCACTACCAACTCCTCCGCATCCAATGGATGATCGATCTCCTGCGGAGCCAGTCGCTGTGGTGTGAAGGCACAACCAGCGGCTCGGACCCCAAATCCGTGATAATAGCAGGTGGCACATCATGCATTGCCACCTCAACCGCCTGCGACCGTCGGGCCTCGGCCAAGTGCAGGCCAGAGAACAGGACAACTGGACCCGTCACTGTCTCGTGAACTACAGGTCGTGCATCCCCAGCCCCCCCGTCTCGCTCTTGTCC